GTACTCTCAGTCATCGGCGAGTATATGTGCACGTTATCGGGCTGTTCCGTGCTACGTAAAGGCCACCGCCGCCTCAACGTTACGTAGCGTTCGCTCTGCGCTGACAATGCACGCGCGAGTTCACTTGGCGACTGACAGGAAGAAGCAAACCAGGAAAAAGGCGGCCTCCTGACACCGTCAGGTCGCTTGATCTCCCTGCAGGGGAATCGAGAATAATTGCCAGCGCGATCTCGTCCCGAAGCGCATCGCCAGGACGGCTTGTACGCCCTGACGATCTGGCTTCTGCGAACACAGAGATGCTACCCCGACGAAGGAAGAAACCTCGTGTAGAGTGTCCGCATGTCAGCGACGATGATCCGTTCGGACAGTGTGGCAAGCCTCCAGCGCGACGACTCTCAAGTTTCGGCATGCATGCGTCTCATCTCCCTCGACGGCTAGCGCGATGATTCGGAGGAGCCAGGTCCCTTTACCGATAAATGGAGAGTTTCTATGAACGGCCGGAGTCAATGCGTGCGTTAGAGGCAGGATGAGGGGGGCGGACGATGACGGACGATGGGAGGTACGAGAAGCGAGGATTCATGAAGGATGTACATAGTGTCCGAGATCAGAGCATCAGCGTGAGCTTACCTGGCATATGACAGGGAAAGAGAAAACGTGGTCTCCTGACGACGCCTCATCATCACACTCCGGGGCTCCTTGGTAAAATGGTCTCTCCCGATCCTGCCCTACCGAGGAGCGAGATCTTGGTCTTGGCTTCGGGAATGAAGCGACGGGCGTGTTAGCGTGCCTAGCACAAAGTGCCCTCAACGGGGCCTGTGCCAGCCCAGGCATCTTGACCGGTGTCAACACGATGTCTGGACCTGATTATACCGCCGAAATCCTCTTATCAATGAAATGCATTTGAGTCGGAGCGGCCATATCACAAGCCAGATCAACCCTCGACCTCCATGGAATCCTCGTAACTCCCGCCTTCATAGTCATCCTCGCCGTCGTCTACAACATTCGAGCTAGCGCCTTCCGGTCCTCCGCCACCGGCGCCGTGCGGATCTCGGCCTTCGTCGCTCGCCTTTAGCATCCACTCGGCTTCGACGCACGTCAGCCACGTCTACACCATGACTCCCATATGTTCGTCGAGGACACCCACCGATATCGATCCTGTCGTTGTGCCCGTGGTGCCTCAGCAGCCACTCCCAGTCTTCCTCCTCCTCGTGCTCCACCGCCGCATAGAACGCCTTGGGCCACGACCACCACTCCGAAAACACCGGGTCGCCCGTCTCGACATCGCGCTCGACGGTATGGACGCCGAAGTTGAACCCGAGCAGCTCCAACAAGCGCGGCGGATGCTGGGAGAGGACGTCCCAGAGGCCGATCTCGACGCCCAGCTCGCACACGACGTTCACAAACCGGAGCGCTCCGCGCGTGCCAAACTACCCGGCGCACAGCACAAAACCGACATTACCTCAAGAGACTCGCGCTGGAAGGAAGGAACAGCTCACGAAGTCCATCCAGTCCTCCATCGCCATATCCGCTTGTCCCACACGCGCATACACGTGCAGCGCCGTCAGGCCGCACGGCAGGTTGATGTCGAGGAACTTGCTGCATCCCGTCGCTGGATCTCGAGCATGGCGGACGTGCTCGAGACGATGTGTATGGCGCAACTATACGGAGGACCGGACGGAGAAGGTAGTATTAGTTTGGCCACGTTACGACACCCTTGAGCTCACCGTTATCCTTCCTATGACGACCCTGGCGCAGTTGCTCGAGCAGGACGACGAGGAAGCTCCTCGAGGCGGAGCAAGAATGGTCGTGCGTCACCTTCTTAGCCGACACACACACGAGACGCGGTGTTTGGTAGCCTCGTGTGTGCGGCGGCCGAGCGACGGCTGGGACACGAAAAAGGGCCTTTGATTATCGTTGTCTTAGGCAGTGTAATGTGCAGTGTAATGTGCAGTGGAGTGTGCACTGTAGTGTGTAGCGTAGTGTGTAGTGTAATGTGTAGCGTAGTGTGTGCAGCATATGGTGTGGTTTGCAGTGTTTCGGGCAGCGTGTCGGTGCAGAGTGTGCAGGTCAGAAAAGCGGAGCAAGGGGGATCACGTCACACAGAAAGGACGCGTTTTCTGGTCCGCCATGTTTCTAGAGACAGCGAAAAAAAATTGTAGCATTCCACTGATGGGTTTCGCAGACTCAGCTCGCCCGAGCACATCTCATCGGGCGTCTATCATGTTGCCGTCGTAAACACAAATCCATCTTGCCTCTCTCAACTCCGTACCACAATGTCACCACTGCGACCGACCCAGCCCTGTATTGCCCGCTCGTACTACATGCCCATCCGACCCAAAACTCATCTGACACAAGCTCAGCAACCTCAAGCCGGCATGTCCTGGCAGCATCTCCAAACTGCCACATCCGCCGGGAAACTGACTATCATGCATGCAGGCGGAGATGTCGAGAGAGTGTAGGGCAATGTACGTACCTTTTCCTTTGCTTTCCAGCTGAAAATATTGTCTGTGGACTACCGGAGTCCTACAAGAGGCTGTAAGCCTGCTGCCGCCGGTGCAATCCCGCCAGCCAGCAGTACCATGCTTTGTGTTCGCCGCTCGCCGGCCATGCACCAGCATGAGGATATCCGAGGTATGGTGAGTCCCTTGGCTTTTGTGTAGGAGCACTAGATGAACCGGATGATCCGACTGGGACATCCATGTCGGCTGTGAGTATTCTAAGCATTAACGAACGTGTACGGGTGGCGGACCTTCAGAACGACCTGGATGCCATTATCGGCGAGTATATGAGGCGCGAACTCTGAATCGTGATACGCCTCGCGCTTGTATCTGCCGTGTGAAGCAAAGAGGGCTGCAGCGGGTGGGTTGCCTGTGCATTGCCAAAGGTAAGTGATTGTAGTACAAGAAAAAGTAGGTAAGACCGCAGGCTCGCCATAGGCAGATTTCAGTGTGTCCGGAACGAGATACGTCTCATGTGCACGGTGGAAAGCGTGATCAAGAACTTGAACTCAAAAAAACCCCGTGCATCGCTGCGAGCCTGCGAGCACAAGTCCTCCGCCGGCAAATGCACCTTGAGGCCTGGCGGTGTCTATGCGTGGGTCTGTTTGTTGCCAGCCGACAAGGTCAGTCATGTATTGCTTGAGGGTGCCCATCTCGTCTCATACATACCTCGTGATGTCCGCTGATGTCATTCTCCGTGTGCCCACGCCAACTCTCCTTCTGCCTGCTTCGTACCTGAGTATCCCTTTCTACCAGTGCCCATCCAACATCCCTGCCAACTCCGGAAGGTAGGTTTGAGCAAATCGAGAGTCAACTGTCAGAGCAAGATGAGTGATACTGTGTGCTACCGAGTTTTCGAGAGATGACATACCAGCTCAGCCTGTTCATTCACCATTCACGACACCTAGGGATGTGTCGAGGGATAGCTCAAGGGAGCTCCAGATCAGTAGCAGAATTCTGTAAGCTGTTGCCTGATGGATCACCCTCATAAGTTGGGCATCCGGGCGAGGTGCAATGCGACCAGAGTGGGCTAGCAGTCAAACTCAGTGCATGTAACACCTCGGGGTCTGGATGCAGGAGAGGGCAGGAAACTATCACCAGTGGGAACAAGATTCGCTGCTGCCATTGCAAGGGTTGAGTCTCGAGGATGCCAGCAAGATAGCCAGCTCAAGTGTGCGTTCCAAATGAGAATGTGTGATGGAGTGAAGACCAGCGAAAATGCGACAAGTGGGAAAAGGTTTGTGTCCCCAGAGAATAGCCAGTGGCCAGCGGCCAACGGCCAACGGCCAACGGCAAAGCTGGAATACTCTGAGTACGGTGCATAGACCAGCAGGCAAGGGGGGGGTGGACGAGCGTCGGCACACCATGCTTGTGGGCGTGGGTAGAGCTGACTCACTTTGCTGCGCAGTGCATTGACTCCGGCTAACCTTCCTTCCCGTCTCACCATGCTTGCTTGGGCTCCGTGTTTCAGGAATTCTGACCTTCTGTGGTGCACTATTCGGACTCTCGGGTAATATCGTCCTGTTAGCAATCCCATATATGGTGTCAATCTACAGAAATCAATTCAGACGATTGTGTGATCAGCACAAATATGCGCACCTCGCTGCACCTCGGAAGCCGCCTCTCAATTGCCTTGACTATCAAGACTAACAAAGACGGTTGGGCTGAGCTTCCCCATAGGGTTGTGCATGGTGTGACAGATGTGTCTCCGAGTCTTGACCAGTTCAGTATTTCAGGGAATGTTTTGCACAAAGTGTGACATCCGAGTCGACTCAAGCATGGATAAAAGACCCTTCAGCGATGGTACTGGTTGCCCATTGTCCTCTCACCGCTCACTTCGAGATCAGATATGCCTCATACACTGCCCAAATCCAGACTTCGCTTTGAGCACGTCCAAGTCTCTCCACCTGGTCAAATCCCTGGTTTGCCCCCTCCGAGGCTCTCCAAAACTCGCACAAAGCCAGCATGGTACAGCGGCCGTAGGAGTTATGTCCGAGGTGACTTGCGGACACACTTTGATCAGGAGTTGCGTGAGTTCTCTGTGATCCAAATGCGTTCTCTTTGAGAGATCTGCATCTGATGACGACCACTTGAACAGAGCGGTTGAGCGGAGACCCAAAGGCCGGCATGTTCTGGACCTTCGAAGACTACATTGAGTCCGTGGTTCTCAAGCACGGCCACAAGCTTATTGGCTGGCCATGCGACATACCCTTCGGGAACCTCAGCTATGTCCACGGTGGAGTACATGTTCTCACACGGCTTGACACTCTATGGACGTCTGGTGCCTTGAAGTTTATTCCAATCACCGAAGATGAGCGGATTGCCGCCAGTGTTGATCCGTATCAGCTTGCCCCTGCCCCAAAGTGCGCTCATCGGAAGTCCCAGGGGGGTAGAGAGGACATTGGATGTGCTCGCCCTCGCCCCAAGACAAACCCTTACAACCTCGCTCTCCGCCATCCGAAGAACGGCCCCAAGACCCCAAAGTATGTGCCGGCTGAGTGGGACGAGTAGCGCTTGGGTAAGCTCGGATCCGTGCTGTAATAGAGTGTCGAAGCTGATTTGATGACTCCCTGCCACAAGGCAGAGCGCACGGAAAGGCCCAGAGGTCGGCGGAATGAGTCATGTTTGGTTTCCGATGTTTTACTCTACAAGCTATTCCTAGACAATTCCGCTTCTGACAAATCGCTGCAAGCACCCCTGCAAGCGAGTCTGATGTCCCTATTCTATTGCTATCCCATCTCTCTTTGCCTTGCATGACAGAGAAAGGTTGTTGCTCGCCTAAGCCATGTTGCTGTGTGCCCGAAAGGGCTCTCGTATTTCATCTTCAGTGCAGGCAAAGACGAGGTTATAGAGATTTGGTCTGCTTGCAAGTCAATTGGGACAGAATCATGAAATTGTGACCGCATCTGCGACCCTGCATGTAACCACGTACCCTCCGTGCTAACGGTATCCATGAGTCATTCTGCCTTGCTTCTGTACACAATGACATGGGTGGCTGACACAAACACCTCGGATCGACAATCCGACCGGACCTCTTGGCAGTTGGTCTGTGCGTGTGGATGCCGCACGGACCGCTGTTTCAGCACATAAATATCCCAGAAGAGGGATCGCTGTGATCGCTCACCAGCTGCCTTGTCTCGTCCATTTTGCTCTCAGGTTCTCGATTGTAATGCTTTTGAAGAATGGGTGAGTGCGACATGTTTGCAATGCGCTAGGACTGTAGCCGTACTATGGGCACTCCCCACATGTCTTGATTCAGTTGTTTGCCTGTCCTCGAATGGTGCTGATGGGTGGACTTTTCAGCACATTATGCCCTGCAAAGACGATCGTGACATTGAAGGTACGTCAGCTGTTTTCGAATAAACAGCAGGGTCACATACTCACCATTGTCCCATCGCTGCTGTGTGATTCCCGCACATCTGGAACAAGTTTGTTTTCGGCCGCAGGATGATTGTACGTCACATATTGTCATCTCTGGTATAAATATATTGACGGGCGTCGTAGACAATCGGCTTCGTGGATAATGTACATGCGACAGGACCGTATGCTAAGCAAGGAGCTAGGTACGTACATAGTCTCCCGGACACATCAAGCTCTACAACATCCCGGCTATTACTACTGTCAGCAGCAAAGCACTTTGATATGCTTGCGGACAACATGGAAGAGGTGGTAATCGCGCTGAGCGAGGTACTGGAACATGAGCGCATGCCCGCTCCGTATGGCAGCTATAGTCTCGCCAATGTTGGGCTGTGCAACGCCCGGCCGCATAGATATGTTTGGACGTGAGAGCAGGATGAGGAGGCAACAGCTCGGCGATCCGAGACTCTGACGCTGAGCTGATTAGCAGGGCGAAGACGGGCAGGCGTGTGGACGTAAACCGCGCTTGGCCGGAGGCCAGGATGAGGTTGAATGACTTGCGGATAGCTGTGTTGTCGACGACAACGTCACCGCCAACCGTCCTGCGGAACATGTTTGCTGCCGTTGTGAGCGTTGCTCGTATGGCGTCTGTGCGCGAGAAGGACGGCCCACGCGTCTCGGCCGTCCCTTGGCTGGTCTTGAGTGTAGGGTGGTGGTAGGCGCACCCATAGCCGTCATCGAGGCATCGATCTCCCTTTTGTGGGGCAGCCTACAAAATCTTGCCAGCCGGTGACCACCCTTGCCTATGCGCGGTGGGAAGAACAGTGTTGACAGTGTTTTCCCTCCCGCCGGCGATCAGTCCGCATCATAGACCGCGCTCTTACATACTAGTGCTCATCCTTTAGCGCTATCGATCAGAGGCGATAGAGATGTTGCGAGTCTCAACTCGCCTTCACATACTCTCGCATGGACTATTTGCGGCGTCGTCCGCGTTCGAGTGCCCTGTGGTGGTCTGTATCCGCTACTATTCTGCGTGGCAGCTCACTACTTGCGTCGCCGTTGGCAGCAGGAAACGCGACACTTTGGAAACCTGCTCTGAGCACGCCTCTTTGCTCTATCGCGGTGACGAAGATCGTCTCAGAAGTACTGCAGAGGAACAGCGTGATTTCCTTCGGGAGGGGTGAAAGCCGTCGGACGCAAAGTCGGCAACATTGATCAAGGCCGTTGAGCTCGGAGGCAACAACGGTACGTACACGCTATTGTCCGAAACTACCGAAGCATTGAACTTACGACATCTATGCTGTCTCCGGCTGCTGTCGTCGTGCCTGATGCCGACCTCAACCTCGCCGTGCCAGCGGTCTTCTTTGGCGCAGTTGGCACCGCCGGTCAGCGCTGCATGCCCACGCGCCGGCTCTATGGGGGACAATGGCGGCGTATCTGCGTCGCCTGAGCGTTCACAGCTGATGGGTGCTTACCGTATGCTGCGGGCACGTCTGGCCTCACTTGCTGGCGGAGCTTTGGCGGCCGGCGGTGGGCGACGGCAGACGGAGAGAAGCTTACCGTGCTCGACGAAGTCCTGCAAGCTGACATCGTCCGTGAAGATTGCCTGCCGGCGTGCCATGTAGACATGTGCGGTGTTGACGGGTTGAGGTTCGACAGCGAGGGACCCACCTAGAAGTTGCGCTGGTAGCCGACAATGCGGCGGGGATCAAGAAACGGAGTGAGCAGCGGCGAGGGCCACCCCGAAGGCGTTCTCCCCGCGGATATTGATGAACGAGTACTGCAAGCCCCGGAGTCAGCCGCCGCCACCTTTCGAAACGCCATCACTCACCTCCGCGAGCTCGACCCCGCTATGCCGGTTGTAGTTCGCGTACACCAAGTTGATCTGAGCACCCAGTCATCAGCAGTCCGCCCCCTCCTGCTCCCGCGCCTCGCGCGGCACGCACCTCGTTGTGGAACGGCCGCAGGCCGGCGACCTCCAGCAGCTCCCACCACTCCAAAAAGTCCTGGAAGCGCTGGTTCCACACGTGCAGCTCGATCTGCAGCTGCCCGAACGGCAGGACGCCCTCGCGCTCCGCGACGCCCCACCCGCTCGTCGCGTTGTCCTTGTTGGGTGCGTGCGGCCCGCCGCCACCGGGGTTGCCGCGCTCCATGGTGAAGTCGTGCACGATGCCGCGGAACGTCTCCCACTCCCAGCCCTCGACGTCGAGCCGGAGGAAGTCGATGTGTGAGTGACCTGCATGCAAGGAGAGGGAGGGGCGCGCGTCAGCGATCCGGTCGCCCTTGCACTCCACCATACTACCGCATCAGACGCACCGTTCTCGGCCATGAGGCTCTTGAGCGTCCACGTCTTGGGCTCGTCGCCCGCCGCGTGCCTGTCGCTTGCGCCGAGCGCGAGCTTCCCAAAGTGCGCCCTGTGCCGCAGCGCACGCGGGATGTGGCCCTCGGCGCCGACGCCCTTGGTCGAGTCGTATATCCAGACCTGGCAGAAGCGCGTGGACTGGAGGAGCGTCGCCTCGAACAGGTACGTCGAGTCGATGCCTGCGTTGCGTGCGTGCGCGGTGGGGGAGAGAGGTAAGCGCGCTAGTTCACGTACAACGTGCGGGTTAGGCAGCTCGGAAGCGGGGGAGGATGTCGTATCGGGGATCACAGATCGGCCCTGCGCGCTGTGCCAGTGAGACAGTGCGCGCTCCCGATGTGAGAGCGCGACGCACGTTCATCAATCCTTACAGCGCGCGCGACTAATGCAAATACAAAGACCCATCCAGACTCACAACGCTGCTAAATAATGGAAGATACGCGTTGGGGTGAGCGTTCCCAGCCAGCATGCGTCTGCGCGCGCTCATCTCGACGCGAAGACAGATCTGAGTCGTGACCCCGCTCTGACGCCGGGAGGAAGACGGAAGCAGAGGAGGGTGTCAAATTGCACAGCGCGACGTGTCAAAGCCCCCGCGCAAGGCGGTGAGCAGCGACGACGCTGGGCGCGTTGCGGACGTGCGAGGGTGTAGATGCATAGCCGAGACGAGGTGGGGGCAGTGGCGTCTACCAAGTGGAGTAGAGGCGGTAACGCGAGCAGGAAGAAGGGCAGCGGGACGACGTGGCCACACAAGGGATGCACAATGGTGCGCAATGATAGGGGTGCAAGGGAGAGGACGTACCAAATGAGTAGATGACACAGTCAGGCTTGTCCTGTATTCTGGACATGCCGCATATCCATTTCCCGCCGTCGCCGAGGGCACCTAGCCTGTCGAGTTCGTGGGGGCAGTTGTATAGTGGTGGGAAGAAGTCCCCTGTAGGTAGACGTCAGCTGCGAGCTGCGAGGACGGCACTGGCTCGGA